CTGTGCTTATGCTGGCATATGATAAACTGGATGTATAGATCTGAGAGAGGCAACCTTTTACTACAAAAGGCCAAAGAATACAGACAGTCCCTGACTTATAATGGTTTAAGGATATTCCAACTTTATGATGAGTTCATCTGGATGTAGCACCATTGTAAGTCAAGGAGCATCTTTTTCTTTTTTTGTTTTCTTTTTTTTTTTTTTTTTAAAGACAAGGTCTTGCTCTGTTGCACAGGCTGGAGTGCAGTGGCATGCTCTGAACTCCTGGACTCAAGGGATCCTCCTACCTCAGCCTCCCAAGTAGCTGGGACTACAGGCATGCACCACCACACCTAGCTAATTTATTTATTTTTATTTTTGAGACAGAGTCTTGCTCTATCACCCAGGTTGGAGTGCAGTGGCACAATCTCCGCTCACTGCAACCTCTGCCTCCTGGGCTCAAGGATTCTCCTACCTCAGCTTCCCGAGTAGCTGGGATTACATGTGTGCACCACCATGCCCAGCTAATTTTTGTATTTTTAGTAGAGATGGGGTTTTGCCATGTTGGCCAGGCTGGTCTCAAACTCTTGACCTCAAGTGATTTGCCTGCATTGGTCCCCCAAAGTGCTGGGATTACAGACATGAGCCACCTAACCCAGCCCACAGCTAATTAAAAAAAAATTTTTTTTGTAGAGATCAGGTCTTGCTATGTTGCCCAGGCTGGTCTCAATCTTCTAGCCTCAAGAGATCCTCCTGCCTTGGCCTCCCAACATTCTGGGATTCCAGGCATGAGCAACCACACCTGGCTCCATCTGTATCTATTATATTTTTAAGTTTTGCAGGCCATACAGGGTCTACCACAACTATTCCACTCTGCCACTGTAGCAGGAAAGCAGCCACACACATTACAATACATAAATGAATAAGCATGGCTGTATTCCAGCATTTACCAAAACTCTAGGTAGGCTGGATTTTGCCTATGGGCTGTAGTTTGTCGAGCCTTGACATGGATGAGTGGAGAATGGACAGACTAACCAGTAAATAAGGCTGAGAAACATGGGGAAAAATTAAGTTGAATCTGTGGTGTGCAGAAGAATGATCCCCCAAAGATATCCATATTTGAATCCCCAGAACCTGTATGTTAGCTTACATATAGCAAAAAGGACATTGCAGATGTGACTAAGATGGGAAAGTTATCCTGATTATTCAGATAGGTCCAATACAATCACAAGGGTCCTTATATGGGAAAGAGGGAAGCAGGAGACAGAGAAAGAGAGGTGATCATGAAATCAAATATTCAAGTGATGAAAGGCCCCAAGGAATTTTGCCTAGAAAAGGCAAGGAAATAATTTCCTTCTTAGAGCCTCCAGAAGGAATGCAGCCCTGCTGACACTTGATTTTAGCCCAATTAGGCTGATTTTGGACTACTGACCTCCAGAACTATAATAAAATAACTTGTGTAGTTTAAAGCCACTAAGTTACAGCAACAATGGGAAACTACTGCAGATCCCTACCTCACACCATACACAAAAATACGTTTTGGGGGGTTTAAGATCTAAATTTGAAGAGAAAAACTCAAAAATATTTACATAGAAATAAAGATAATTATCTTAGTAACCCCAGAAGTAGAGACAGTATCCTTAAGAGACAAAAGTGTGTAAATCATAGATGAAAAGATGGGTAAACGTGACCATAAACAAATGTAAAGTTATGACTAGGATGGACAAGATGTAGTATTTTAAGAGTATATACCTGGCATATCCTAGTATATAGTGGAGGTTAGGAAAGGCCTTGTTGAGAGGTAATATTTGAGCTGAGATCTGAAAGTTGTGGAGGAAGGAGTGAGAAAGTAGAAAGTGTCCATAGACTAGATAAAGAAAATGTAGTACATATACACTATGGAATACTATGCAGCCATAAAATGGAAGGAGATCACATCCTTTGCAGGGACATGGATGGAGCTGGAAGCCATTATCCTCAGCAAAGTAACAACACAGGAACAGAAAACCAAACACTGCATGTTCTCACTTATAAGTGGGAGCTGAATGATGATAACACATGGACACAGCTGGGCATGGTGGTTCACGCCTGTAATCCTAACACTTTGGGAGGCTGAGGCAGGTGGATCACCAGAGGACAGGAGTTCAAAACCAGCCTGGCCAACATGGTGCAACTTATACTAACAGGTGGCAGGTGCTTGTAATCCCAGTTACTCAGGAGGCTGAGGCATGAGAGTCGCTTGAACCCAGGAGGCAGAGGTTGCAATGAGCCAAGATTGTGCCACTGCACTCCAGCCTTGGCAACAAAGTGAGACTCTGTCTCAAAAGAAAAAAAAAAAAAAAAAGACCACATGGCGGGAAAAACACACATCAGGGCCTGTCGGGGTGGAGGCAGGGGGCTAGGAAAAGTAGTCAATGGATGCTGGGCATAATACCCAGGTGATGGGATGATCTGTACAGCAGACCACCATGGCATACATTTACCTATGAAACAAAACTGCACATCCTGCACATGTACCCCTGAACCTAAAATAAAAGTAGGAGAAAAGAAAGAAAGTGTCCAGCCTAAGGGCTAGGACTGAGCAGGCAAATGAAGTCAGCAGGCTGCTGTACTGCACTCTACTCAGTAAGGCCTTTCGGGGAAGGTTCTGCAAGGGGTAAGGGTTCTACTCTGTCCTCCAAACCTGGCAGTGCTGCTTCTATCCATGTTTATACAGAGAGCTGTCCTGGAAGAGTTTCTCCAAAGCATCCATATCAGCAGCAAAGTTTCAAGGACACAAACTCATTTGAGAGGGCATTGATCTGGTCCAACCTTACTTTTATAGATGCGGGAAATGAGGCCAGGAAAGATGAGATTTATCGGCAACCAAAGAACAGGGCAGTGCCTGAGTCTGGGTGGATCCTGGGTCTCTTGATAGTCAGACACCCACCCAGCTGTTCCTTGAACACATAATGCTCTTTCCTGCCTCGAGACCTTTGCACTTGCTTTTCTTCTGCCTGGAAGAACCCTCTCAGATACTCCTTACTTCTCCCAGGTCCCTGCAGAGGGGTAAGTCCTTCGAGAGGCCATCCCTAATCACCCTATCTAAACTACCCTGCCATTGCTCTGCCATTTTCCACTGTCCAAGGCTGCATTGCACATGCACCATCTCTCTCCCCCTTTACAATGTCAGGACAATGAGATCAGGGACTACTGTCTGTTTTATTCATACTGTCTTCCCAGTGTCTCCCACATGGTGGCTGTAGCAGGCAAAGTAATGGCCTCCCAAAGATGTTCACATCCCAGCAGGGCGTGGTGGCTCAGGCCTGTAATTCCAGCAGGTCGAGGTCAAGATCGAGGCTGAAGTGAGCAGTGATTGCACCACGGCACTCCAGCCTGGGCAACAGAGCAAAACCCTTTCTCCAATAATAATAATAATAATAATATAGGCCGGGCGCGGTGGCTCACGCTTGTAATCCCAGCACTTTGGGAGGCCGAGGCTGGTGGATCACGAGGTCAAGAGATCGAGACCACCCTGGT